AAAAAAAATCAAAATAATTACTCAATAAATATCACACTGAAAAAATATTTTTAACACAAGAAAATCGAAACAACAAATAAGAAATTTTACAGTTTTCTTCATCTTGCTCGATCCTCTCCTTCATCCATCATTCCTTCCTCCTTTCTTCTGCCTTTCTCCTCCTTCATTTGTTCTCCATTTGTTGAGAGTTCTCTTTCAATTGAAAACCCAATCTAAGTTCTTCATCAAGAATCTAGAGTTTTCCAAAATAAACAAATATAAATTCGTAGATAAATATCAGAAGCAACCTTAAGAGTAACCATAGGAGAATGCAGATTAGCACAGCGGAGGAAAATTTAGATAAAAAAAATGCAAATCGGAGGAAAACAGTTGTTTCAGATCTGGAGGAAGATCCAAATCTATGAAGTCCCAACATAACAAGGGCTCCGATGTGGACCATCGCGGCTCACTGAACTCCTTCGAAAAAGCGGAGGAGAAGAAAGTGGAGGATCAAGAGAAGAGAAGTGAATTTGCTGAGTTTGTTTATTCTGTTAGCCTTAGTTTGGATTGGGGAAGATGAAGGTTGAAGGGGAAGGGAACGAGGGGAAGATGCCTCCTTTTTGGTGCTTAGGTCACGGATGTTAATGGAGGAAGAACCCTCCACGTTTCTGTTTTCAATTCCTCTTGGAGGGTTTAGTTCTGAAGTTCTCTGCATTTAATTTTGTAAAGGTCAATATATAAAAATATTTTATATTAATTATTTAATTAAATAAAAATATGAATGGCCGTTCCGACCTAATGACATTGTAACTTGAGTTAGAGCTAATTACTTTGGTGAGTGACGTGTTCGAGTCCCATGAAACATATTTGCCCCCTCCATATATACATGTAAATAATGTCAAAATTATTTTAAAAAAAATTAAATAAAAATATTATTTTGCTCTCTTATTCATTTTTGTCTACTTAAACAAAATTAATATTAATCTTTTTCTTTCTTTCACTTTACCTTCCTTTTCTTTTCCTCTAATCTTTTTTTTTTCTCTTTATTAATTTTTATGTAAATAAATGTTTAGTCTCTTTCATTTTTCCTTAAACAAGGAAGAAGATGATATTTAATTAATTAATTAATTATTATTTTT